CTCCTTCAGAGGAGTCATAGTGACTTGGTGGCCTCCTTCACTAGTCTCCTTCTAGTAACTCCTTCAGAGGAGTCATAGGTGTCTTGGTGGCCTCCTTCACTAGTCTCCTTCTAGTAACTCCTTCAGAGGAGTCATAGGAGTCCTGGTGGCCTCCCTCACTAGTCTCCTTCTTGTTCCAGGTCTCAGTCGGCTGTGGAACCAGGAACCCTGCGACAGACGGAGCGAGAGACGAGCACGCCGCTGCTGGCTCTGGACTGAACACAGCGAACACACGACACACTTCTTGAAAAACACACTTTGAACCACAATCAGCACCAGCTGTGTATTAATCTGGTGGATTTGTCCTGCTGACCCGACAGCGACCGAACCTCCTGAACAGGACTCACACACACATTCATACTTCTAGCTTTGTGAGGACCGTCACTGACGTCGACCGATATCACACAAGGTGCAGCTGGAAAATAACGACTAAGGTTTAATGAAGAGTTCTGGGTCATTCCATTCAAAATCAACCAAATCTTAGACGTCCTCCTCAGAATCACAGATTTATATCAACAATAACTGTTTTACCTTCATACCAGGAATGTGTCCTGGAAGTCCACAGAGGAGGGTCCAGATTGATCCCTTTAATGGACTGGTTCCATCATTTCTGAGCCTCAGAACTTCATCAGTCCAGCAGATAGACGATAGATGAGTTCTTTAAAAAGCTGTAACCAAACCATTCTTACATCCACTCCAGGTGTCTAAAGACTAACTCTGTTTATTGTTCAGCACGATCACACTAATGCGTTAAACAGTAAATGAAAATATCCGTATATTCAAGTTGACTTTTAAACCCTTTGAACTTCAAAACCTACCGAAAGGCGTGTTGTCTTCACAACAAATGCCAAGATAACAACACTCATCAGCCAGAACCGGTGAAAACAGAAAGATTGGTCTCATTTTGGACTTTCCAACAGTCCTTGAACTCCTCATCTGTGGTGCAGCTTGAAATGGTGACATTTAAAGACTTTATCCTACGAGTCAAACCAAAACAAAAACCTGCAGTCAGTTCAGTCAGATTCAGTCGGTTGAACTGCCGGCGGTGTCATTTTTTCTGGTCGTCAAAATCAGAGAAAGTCATTTCTAAAAATGTTTTATGGCAAAAACAACAAAACAACAAGAAGAAACTGCCTGGAGTTCAGAGGGTTAGGATTTGTCACTTCTTTTTTCCTTCATAATTTGAATTTCTGACATAAAACCTGAGCTACTTGAGGTAACTGTTACCTCCTCGATTAATCGATCAGTTGTTTGAGCTGTAAACTATCAGAAAAGCAGAAGATGAAAACCCAAAGAGAGCCAGTTTACAGTCACGGAGGACAGAAACCACCGAACGTTACCGGCTAATGTAGCAGTCGACAGCTAATGGATCGATCGCTGCAGCTCTTTCATTTCTATTGTGTTTCAGCAATAAACGAACATTCAGGGGACACGAAACGTCCTCACAAAACTAGAAGTACAACACACACACACACACACACACACACACAGACACACACACACACACACAGTCTGAGCCGCCTAATTCCTCCCAGCTGAGCCTCTCTGCAGCCGAACATCTGTCCAGATGTCCACGATGACGGCGGCGACAACAACAACAACAACAACAACACACTCCTGCGCTTCTAGTTGCGACCACACGGTTTAACGCGACGCTGATGATCAAACTTTATTTAAAAACCTCAGTACGACAAAACAATCAAGTCTGTAACCGAGAACAGAGCGGGTTGCACCAACGAGGATTCGCTTAAACTGAGATTCCTCCGAAAGTGACGCAGCTTAAACGGATTGGCTGTTATTCATTTGTCCACTAGGGGGAGTGTTTACCTCCGCGTATCACTAAACAGGAAGGACAGCGGAGGAAAGTTAAAAACACGATTATTTTCGAGCAAGTTCTGCAGCCTGCGGGAGCGTCTTTAGCTTCCTTGATTTCTAAACATCATCGTAACGCCGTCATCGGGAAGTTTAACCCAACGGAAGCTAAACTTTTGTGTTTTCAGATTCGGCCAAACAAGTGTTTTACCTCCGATTCTGGACCCTTTGTTGAACTCGGGATGTCTTTGACGTTTCATACACCAGGATTAATTGGATAATCAAAAAGTATATTTTATCTCCTGCTGGCTAGCAGGATTTTTTAGCTGTTTTTCACTTAAAACTAGTTGTTTCTTGAGTAACCTCAACTGAGTAGAAAAGCTGAAGCTGCAGTATTTGTTTAATTGATCTTTTAGCTCTCAGTTTTGGTTTAGCGGGCGATGATTCCGTCTGGATGTGGTGAGCTGTGAAAACCAAACAGGCACAGCGACATGCTAGCTGGGTTAGCATTTAGCAGCTAAAGCGCCCAGTGTTTCCTTTGGGAGGTGGTGGAGACCAAAACTGGAGCTAAAAGAGAGGAAACATTTGGACTTCCAACGCGGCAGCTCGATGCGCTGCCCCCCAGTGGCCAGATTAACGTAAATCTAAGTTTGAACGTGATCCTTTTTGGTGAAACCCAACCTGGAAGTGTTTGAATGTTTAAGAAAAACAACGCTGTTATCTGATTAGCCAAATGTTTTTGTAACTTTTCAAGACTCTTGATAACACTTTAAATGTGAAAACAAAGAAATGAGCCAGCGAAGGAAAAGAAGGACGACGCAGAAGAAGAAGAAGCTTCACTTTGGTAGAATAATTTCACTTTTATTTTGTTTTTCCTTTCAGGCACAAAAACAAACTCACCGACTTTGCACAAGTATTTAAAAAACAACAACAACAAAAAAAAGCACCGCGTTCGTGGCCGCTGTAACCGGACGGTTCACATGCATGGAAATGTGGAAAACTTGTTCTACCAGAGCGAAACGAAGCTGTGAAGAAACCACCGGATGCCAAACTCTCACCTTTAACCTCTCCAGCAGCGAGGCAAAGATTGTTTTTATCGAATCTTAACTTATTTAAAGATTGTATATTATTGTTGTTAGCATCACTGCGCTGCAAAAAAAAACAACCCCAGAGCGACAACGTTGTCCGAAGTCAGATTATCTTCATTCGCTGCAACAGAACACTTTATGGTGCGGGTTGATCGGCGGACACTCGGCGGTGAGAAGACGAGTTTGTGGTGTTTTCTTTGGCAGCGTTTCATCATCAGGGCTACACTCAGCTGATCTCCACTCGACTGTAATGTATTTCCTTTCAATGAATGTATAGAAGTAAACATTTACACCAAACTCCCGCCGTGGTTTTCTTGACTCTGGTTGGTTCGCTGCGATTCGTTTTGGGCCGTTTGATGACACACGGCGTCGAAGAGGAACCTCGTTATGGAATTATAACGAAGCGAGGCGGTTAAAAAGTGAATTTTGACAATAAACGGTAGAAAAACAACATTTATTGGTTAAATTAAGCAAAAATGGCGACAGAATCACAAAAAAAAGAAGAAATGAAAACGTGAAGACGGGGACGTGACAACTTTCAGAAAAACCAAACAAATTTAAAGCCGATAGAAAGAATATTGATCAGCAAGGAGGTGAGAGGAAGGCAACAAGGAGAGGAAACAAGGAAAGGAGTTGAGAAGGGGAGGAGATATAAAAACTCTAATTCAGCTTTATTGACAACAACAAAAAGGTTTTGATTGATTGACTGAAAATCAATAAACAAAGTGGCTGAAATCTGTTTGCAGCTTTTAAAATGTGATTAATAAACAAAACAAAAACAATCTGGTCCAAGAAAAACAAAAACACACGCGTTGGTTGTTTTTATTACCGTTGCAATTTTTTTTCTTCATTTTTTGCATTTTTAATATAAATATAAATCATCTTTTATTACATCTTACCTGTGCAAAAGTGATGGAGGAGCGAAACTGAGGCGATGCATAGCGGTGGCGCTAAAGTTAAGGCTTCGGTTCTGTGTTTAGTGTTTCCACAGTCTGAAGAGGGACGCTTCGGGTTCCCCGGAAACCAGCTCAAACCGTAAAGTACCGATGAGTTCCGTTTGTTGTCGAGTCAGTAGTAAAACCCAGAGAATACAGTCTGATGTCGGATCCTTCCACAGTTCTAGCAGTTCGTCGGTCAGACTCGTGATTCTTAGCGCGCCGCTCTAGATGGGGCTCAGGGTCTGGCGCTGGTACTGGGTCAGCTCCGGGTGCCAGACGTCCACGATGAAGATGAGCCGGAAGCTGTCGGCGTCCTGCCACACCTCGTGCTCGAAGGAGTCGTCGAAGATGAGGACTTTACCTTCCTCCCAGTGCCTGCCACACGGAGCAGAAGAAGAAGAGTTGAGCATCAAGCGGAGGTTTAAAATCACGACGCTCAGACGAGGTTAAAGCTGAAAACACCAGAACAAAGCATCTACTGAAGATCTGCACAGAAGAGACGAGACGCCAAACCTCAGCTGTGGACGACAGTGTGAGCATTAGTCATCCATCCATCATCTCTACACCGTCATCCTCACTAGGGTGGTGGGGGGCGGAGCCTATCCCAGCTGACTCAGGGTGAAGGCAGGTTCACCTGGACAGGTAACCAGTCTATCACAGGGCTACACTCAGGCCCCGCAGCCTAAACAGTGATAACTCGATGGGTCGCTGGTTTACACGTAAACGAAGCTACGAGTCTCCGAACACCATCAGAACTCCGACCACAGTGGAGATCTGGAAACACTCGGCTTGACGTTGTAGACGGGAGGAGGCGGAGTCTGACGTGACAGTGAGCGACTAAAGCGTCACGTGTGCGACCATGTTTACAGTCTGGCTGCAGTGATAGAAAGTTTCAGGTATTTAACTCGTTGTGTCCTCTAACGCCACCTGCAGGAGCAGCTCCACTGCCGTCGGTCCAAACAAACCGCCTCCTTATCGCTGAAGTAACAGGAAGTAGTTTGTACCATTCGTTGTTGTGTTTCTTCCAGGATTCTGATTGGCTAGCGTGGCTTTATGCTTCTCGCTGCACTGCCCCCTGTAGGTCTGGCAGCTCATAGCAGCTCCTAATGATGTCTTTTAACGAATATGTTTTTGAAAACGATCTGGTGAGAACGATGTTATTTTTGGAAACGTTTCTGTACATACCGGCCTCAGACACATTCACACCTACGGACAATTTACAATCACCAATTAACCTCAGCATGTTTCTGGACTGTGGGAGGAAGTTGGAGAACCCGGAGAGAACCCACGCTGCACGGGGAGAACATGGAGACTCCACGCAGAAAGATCCCTGGTGTCCTCACCGGGATGTGAACCGGCGACCTTCTAGCTGCGAGTGGAATAAACGACTACAATTCTCAGTACTTGGACGTATTTTGTCTTGAATAAACCTTTAAAGCACCGTTTGGGTGGAGCAAAGTATCTGGACATCGAGCGGTACTTTGTGTGGAACCCTGCTGCAGTATTTGGTGATCGTCCTTGTCAGTAGGTGGCGCCGTCTTCAACACACGCTGCTGCAGAGACAAAAGAAGGTGAATGTGGAGAGGCAACGAGGAGCTGGTACCTGGTCTGGTCGGTGCATCGGATCCTGCAGCCCTGTTTGGGGACGACGAGGCCCAGGTGCATCCTCAGTCGGCAGTTGGTGGGCCCGGTGTGAGGCCAGACGTGAGTCCCAGGATGCATCACTGAGAACTTGATCTGAACACAGACAGACGGCGTTTAGCCCAACAGCTGCTTCTGCACCGTATTACAGGACAGCCGGGAGCAGGAGTAGACGCTAAAAGCAGGGATTTGTTTGGTGTTTTAAGTCAAGCAGGAGACTTTTTGGATATATTTAGCGATGAAATCCTTAAAATCAGCTGATTGACACGTCTGACAGCTGCAGCGCATCAGTCCACAGACACGCTTTCATCCCACAGGCCCAAACATGAGACCACACGCTGCTGCTTCTTCTACTGACACTTTTCAGGTTTCTCAGAGATACGACTGATCTGCAGCGGAGAAAATCCTCATCCTGGAAGCTTAAACTCTAGAAACATGAGTTATCTCAGACACACTGCAGTGGTTTTATTCTCCAAAGGCAGAATGGATCATTAAAGGTTCTATCTGTCTGACTATGGAGGCCAATAACGTGACACTTTCCAGTTGGTACCTGTCCTCTCTTGCAGCCTGTAGCTTCGGGGAACCTCTCCAGCAGCGAGCAGGTCTTTGAAGCACCCTGACAAGAATTCACGACTTTTCTCCCTGAACACACACAAAAAAACCACAGATAAACAGCAAAAACCCACACTGACAAACTGGAGCCAGTGTCTCAGGCTGTGGGTCGACTGTCCGTCGATGAGCCGACCAGCTAAGCGCCTACCTTGCTGCCACAGGGTGTACTGGCCCCACTCTCCCTTCTCGCGGAGGTTTTCCTCCTCAGGTATGAACCGTCCGGTGCTTTGGTCCATCACGGCCAGAGCCTCGTCCCGGATCGTCTTCCAGTTCCTCTCCAACATCTGAGCGCACATTCAAACACAAAACACTCTGTTTGTTTTTTAACTCTCGGGAAACAAAAGCAGCGTGTATGTCGGCTCACGCTCTGGCGGCGCACCTTGACCAGGTCGGTGTATCCCGTCTCTTTGGGCGTCCACCAGGGCTGGGCCTTCAGTCCGTTCACGTTGTACAGAGACCTCTGCCACACCGAGGCAAAATGGCCACGTTTGTGACCCAGCTCGTACCAGTGATAGGCCTGGAGAGACACGGAGGTAACACCACTAATAATGTCAGCTATAAGAAGGTAACAGGGAGTTAAAAATGGACCCAAACACAGATTTACACCAAAGATTTCCTTTCAAGAAACAAAGGATCACATATGACAAGCTGGAAAAAAGCGTTTTGGGTAATTTTGCTGAAAAAATGGCTAAATATGACAAATAATCTATCGTAAAAATAAAAATAAAAGCTGTATTTCCACTCCACTGTGGTGCTGTTGTGGCCGGTTAGCTCAGTTGGTTAGAGCGTGGTGCTAATAACGCCAAGGTCGCGGGTTCGATCCCCGTACGGGCCAACGAGCTTTTAAGATAACACTATGAAACAGGTACACGATCCTTGACATGCTACACATGGAGACACCTGCAGGGAGAGTCTGAACATCAGTGCTAGAAAATCTGATTTAAATATGAATTTACATGTAAACAAAACAAAACCAGTTCTGTCTGACAGCGCAGCAACACTGCTGTATGTGATGCTAGCTGTCTTTGTGACATTCAGCTGTAATGTTAGCATTGTTAGCTGTCGTTATGTGACATTAGTTGTATTTCTATTACATCAGCTGCGTTGTTAGCTGTCTTCATGTGATGTTAGCTGTCTTTATGTGATGTTAGCTGTCTTTATGTGTAGTTAGCTGTCTTTATGTGATGTTAGCTGTCTTTATGTGATGTTAGCTGTCTTTCTATCACATTAGCTTGGTGGCTAACTATCTTTATGATGTTAGATATGTTGTTAGCTGTCTTTATGTGATGTTGGTCGTCTATCAAATTAGCTCTGTAGTTAGCTATCTTTATATGATGCTAGCACCTAGCTAACTATGCATCTAAAGTCAAAGAGAAGAGGCTAAACACACAGCTAACTATGCAGCTAAAGTTACAGGAAAAAGGCTAAACACACAGCTAACTGCGTTTAACTGTTTTTATGTGACGCTAGCCGTGTAGTTAACCGTCTCTCTGGCTGTTTTCTTTCTGTTTCCAGGTCAGGTGATGAGGTTTCATGCGGCCGGTTAGCTCAGTTGGTTAGAGCGTGGTGCTAATAACGCCAAGGTCGCGGGTTCGATCCCCGTACGGGCCAACGAGCTTTTAAGATAACACAGACTTGCACACAATTCTAGACATAATACACCTATTGGACATTCTCTCCATGTGAAGTCTGGAACCTGTGATTTCAGCTCAGCATGGACCGTAGGCCTTCATGCTTTTCTATACAAACGACACTGTCGGTTCTCAGTGGTTAAGGAACTCTAAAAGGAAAACTAATGAGTGTACGGTGAAGAATCAGACTCTTCTGTTAATAAAACTGTGAGATGAATATAAATACAGTGAAGTAGAAGCAGCACCAACTCCTACTTCCATACAGTCCTTAGTCATATATTAAAGTGTTCAGCCTCCAGTTCTGCATGTTGTGAATTTCTAATCAGCTCTTTAGCACCACCTTGTGGGCAGAACGTCATCCTGCAGGACTAAACTGTTGCTGCTCAGTGCCTGTAAATGTCTTAAACCTCCATGTTTGCGTTTGGAGTCAAAGCTAGTTGTACTCACGCTGTCGTCTCCGACCCTCTGCAGAGCGTCGCCCAGGTGGAAATAAAAGCGTCCGTCGTCTGTTCCCGGCTCACCGGACTCCAAACCCTCCTGAAGAGACACAGGAAGTGACAGGATGGTACCATGAAACAGTCAGACAGTAGCGGTCACTGGTCACTGGGTCAGTACATTCAGGAAACATGTAGTAAACCTGGACCCTTGTCTTTCCACACATCAAATCTAGTGACGCTAGAGCCTCAAACGTTGGTGAAACGTTGACCAAAGGCTGTATTTTAGTAGAAATGTGTGTGAGTGTGAGCCGTTCAGTCGTTTTTATCTGCTGGAAACTACTCTGTCTGTGTCCTCACCACGTTTCATGGCGGTGGGAGTTTTATATCTGGAGATATTGAAGCTTTAAAAGGGCTCCAGAGGCAGGACAGAAGCTGTAGCTTAATGCATCAAGTACGTTCTGTAATAACTGTCATGCCAGAGGCTGGCACTACCAGGAAGTATGATTTGGAGTTGGTGGGAGTGAAACCAAAGACTAAAAACCTGTTTTTCCAAAGTCCCTTAGCATCTAATCTGGACGTGTACAGCTCATGTTGTGGCCGGTTAGCTCAGTTGGTTAGAGCGTGGTGCTAATAATGCCAAGGTCGCGGGTTCGATCCCCGTACGGGCCAACGAGCTTTTGAAACAACAAACAGATATATGATTCTAGACATTCTACACTTGGGGAGTCTGTTAGAGAGAGTCTGAACACATTGATGTCAGAATATCTGATTTAAATAAGAATTTAAACGCTAAATAAATTCTGATACAGTGCAGCAACACTGCTGTCGCTGGACGTGTTGTTAGCCGTCTTCAAGTCATTTTAGGTCTGTTGTTAGCATTGTTAGCTGTCTTTATGTGACATTAGCTGTGTTGTTAGCATTGTTAGCTGTCTTT